CAAACAAGAAGGGGACTGGGAATGCAACTACAGACAGAGAAGACATTGTTTTTAAATAGAATTATAATGTGATACGCCACTAGCCAGGCATGGTGGTTGATGGTGCACACTTACACCACTAGTTCTCTGGGATGCTAAGAGAGAAGAGCTGCTTGTCCAAGATGCAGTCTGAGCAACTCGGGGAGATCCTACCTCACAGTTTTAAAAACTGATAGTGAGAACAACGGGGCATAGCCTAGAGGTAGCATTCCTGCCCAGCCAGACTGTGGGAAATTCTGACTCAATCCCCAGCACTAAAAGTCTGGCGGTGGCATGTGGGGTGGAGGGAATACATAGTGATTACTTCCTGGGGGATTTTAAAAAGCTCTCATAGAGCTAATTCATTAAGTTGTATTTGAAGTTCTTTTTTTTTTTTTTAATGCATACATATGCCCAAAGGAACTTCTAATGAAAGTAATTAGAAAAGAAGAGATGAAATAAACTGAGGCATGGAAAAGGAGAAGACAAACAACACAGAAAGTGAGGTGTCAATTAAAAGGGAAACCCTGTGGGAATCAACCGGAAGTCATTAAACGGAGCAGCCAGGTTTAATGGCACACACCCTGTCTTAGGGTTTCTGTTGCTGTGAAGAGATACCATGACCAAGGCAACTCTTATAAAAGAAGATATTTAATTGGGGCTGGGTTAGTCCACTATCATCATGGTGGGAAGTATAGGGGTGAACACACAGGCCGACATGGCACTGGAGAGGTAGCTGAGCTCTGCATCTGGATTTGCAGGCAGGCGGAAGAGACAGTGAGCTACTAGGCCTGGCTTGAGCTTCTGAGACCTCAAAGCCCATCCACAGTGACACACACCTCCCAATAGGGACTCTCCCTATGGGCCATTTTCATTCAAACCACCACTCACAAGCCCAGCCCATGTTACAGCATGGTAATTCACCTCTAAATAAACAAATAAATAAAAATATTTACCTTTAATGTATGCTGAGTCATATTTGTTAGAAATAAGAATATAAGCAGGGTGGTGGTGACTTTTAATCCCAGCCCTCAGGAGGCAGAGGCAGGTGCCTCGAGAGGCCAGCCTGGTCTACAAGAGTTAGTTCCAGGACAGACTCCAAAGTTACACAGAGAAACCCTGTCTCGAAAAAGAAAAAGAAAACAAAGAAAGAAGAATTAAAAAATTCCTACTTCTTAAGTAGCAAAATAAATAGTTTAAGTCTGCCTTAGCCACATTCACTTAGCAAATATTAAGAGATATTAATATGTTAATGGGGCCAGGGATGTAGTTCAGTGGTAAGAGTGCCTGCGGGCATATACAAGACTCTTGTCAATTTGAAGGAGTTTTCAAAACACGTATTGTTTTAAATATAAATTGAGTGTGTGATAAGGTAACAATTCAAGCAATTAGATAATGGGTAACTAGGTGTTATAAGATGCACTGGCAATTTAGCAGGAAAATTATGATCTTATAATTGACATAGTTAAAAGTAATAATAAGAATTTCTATAAGTTCTAGGAAAAACAACTTCTTTCAGATCCACCCCCTCATCCCTACTCACCTAATGTAGCTCCTTTGTGCTCAGGAGCATGTGTATCTGTGTGTGTGTGCTCACGTGTGTACCTGCGTGCATGCATGCGTGTGTGTGTGTTTGTGTGTGTGTGTGTGTGTCCTTCTGCTGGAGCATCATACACCTACCAGGGGTCACACCCTTGAAACTGTCTTTCCCTCTCCCATTAGCTATCAGTTACCAATAGGTTTTTAACTAGGGTTGGGACTTCATATCTACCTCCCCTCTCTATGCTGAGATGATGTCTTGTACAGTCTGTCACCACTGCTGTGAGTTCATATGTTCAATTGCCCTGCTGCATGCAGAAGACAGTCTCCTTATAGTCATCCACTGCCTGTGGCTACACAGAAAAACCCTGTCTCAAAAAATTAAATTAAGAAATTTAAGATTAGTGTTAAGGTAGGTTTTTTTTTTTTTTTTTTTTTTTTTTTAAGGCTAGATGCTAACTTAGAAGCTCACATTTATGGCAGAGAGACCCTGTGGTTCTAGCAAAATATATGCGTATTAACCCTGTTGTGCCAAAAAGCTAGGGGGTTGGATGCAGACTGAGCCCCAGAGTTACAGAAAAGGAGACAGTGGCAGGGTTTCACATGCATCTGAAGTATGGTGACCATACAAAGTGATGTCTACATAAGCAACACACCCTCCCCCTCCTTAGTAACATTAGGGGACACTGGTAATTTGCTGTTTGGCTTTATTATTGCTTCATTTTCCTCCTAATATGGTTTTGGGTATTATTTTACTTTGTGATTATATTTATTAGTTGTTTTTCATGAAATAGTTTTCTTATGTCTTTGAGTCTACATATCAACTTTTAAAGACAAAAACAGCCCACAGTTCATCCTTGCATTGCTTAGCTCTTCTCATGGATCACTAGTGGAGAATGGCGAAAATTTAATCTATAGATTTGCCCAAGCTTTAAATTTTTCTTTTCTCTAAGAGGAACTCCATTTGTTTCTTAAAAACCTTCCCATGTACTTTTGCTTGCTATAATTAAATTTTCTGAAGGATTTAATGAGATCAGTGAGCTGAGCATGAATGCTGCCTAGCCCATTTTCAAGAGAGAATTTAATTATGAGCTTAAATGGCCGTTTGTCTTCAGTACCCTTTTCTTGCCCTGGAGCTTAATTCTGCATTTCTGCACCTGTGGAGGTGGCTTGTAGCACAGGCACATTTTATCTGTTCTGCACTGGGCTGTGGTTGTTACTGTTGACTTAATATTCTCTTGGCTTTCCATTTTAGTAATTTTTGAGCAACTCCAGAGGTAGAATTTAATCCCCCCCACTTTTTTTTTTTTTTTTTTTTTTTTTTTTTTTTTTGTATATATTAGGCCAGCAGTCTACCACCTCACTACTTCTCCAGATCCATTAATACCTCTTAATGTGTTTGCTCAGTGAATTTTAGGTAGGACAGATTTGAATTACTATGTAAAAGACTTCATTAGGGCACGGCTTAGCCAACTGCCTGATGTGCAAGCGCATCCTAGTCCTTTGTCACACTTTCCTTTGCCCGCCTGCAGGAATTGTTATGAAGTAATCGGCAAATCTTATTTCTGAGCGTCGAAGTTGACTTCTATAAAACCTTCCACTGTGTTCTGAGTGTAAGAGCACGAAACACACGGCTCTCACGAGAATGCCGATTGGGAAACAGCCAGAGCCTACATGAACAGTCCCATAGTGACAACGTGCGGGGCTGGGAAGATGAGAGGGCATAGCCCTTGCGTTTTTACCAATTATGGGCTGTGTGTTGCTATGATAATGAATGCTGACTGGTGTTTTATGGGTGCCTTTTTGCTTGCATTGTCCACATTCCTTGTGTCTTGTTTGAAGTTTGGGTTCCTGATGGGATAGTGTTGGAAAGGTGGCTCCCTGCACAGATGCTGACAGGAAAGCACACACGTGTGTACAAACAGGAATGAAAAGCAGAGTCCGGATCATTTGCAGTGCCAGAACGAAGACAGTGTGCAACCATGGTGACAGAGGGGATTAATGTGTAATCAGATGTCATCGCAGACCATGAAAATCTTTAGTGCTCCAGGAAAAATAAGGACTAATAGTCGATATCATCTCCATGGGAAAGTACCTCGGGTCAGAACTGGGGCACTGCGTCTTTTCATTAATTTGTTTTCTTAAGTTTTTACTGTCTGCCAAGGATTTTGTTAGCTGTGAAAATGGAGTGTGTGTATGTGGGGGGGGGCACTAAGTCCAACATACTTACAGCTAAGAAAGAAACAGAAGTGAAGTCTGCCATTGTTCACCAACTGTTACTGTTAACGTTGGGAAGAGAAGCGCCTGCCCTGGGTGTGAGGTGGGAAGCTGAGAGCCTCATTGTGAAGGACATGCAGGCTTCACCTGGAAGATTGCCCAGGGGAGCACTGGGCAGCGATGCTAGCCCAGGTAAAGGGAAAAGCCAATGGGCGATCGAGGTGCGGCGTGTGAGTGAGCATGCGCAGTGAATGGTTAGGAGTAGGCCAAGGCAGAGGTTGCTTTCAGACTGGTGTGTGTGTGTGTGTGTGTGTGTGTGTGTGTAAAAGCTACATCTCTTTCCTCATTCCTCCTATAAGCTTCCACCAGTGTCACAAGGAAAATCACAAGAACCAGAGAGTTTGTGTCTGCTTGGCATAGTGCCTGTCCTACAGTGGACATGCACATAATGGAAGCCTTTTACTTAGAGACAAAGTGATAAAAATGTCAACCACACATTTTTCTCAATGGTATATTCCAATACTTTGTGCAGCGAAGTCATTCTGTAGACACAGAATCCCACAGCAACACCAGCTTAGAACAGTATGGCAATCCTCCATTCTTGCCTAACTGCGTGACTGGCCTATAAGCGAGTGGAGAACTAGGAAGGTTATGATAGTCTTTAGGGACTAAATCTGCTTTTATCTCCAAAACAGTCAGAGTACCTGTATTTATTTATTTCCTCACATGTGATTATCTTGGATACCTGAGGGTGTGTTTGAAGCTGTCGTTATTTGCCTATTTTCTGTATTCTGTTCTGTATGTGATTATATTTTTAAATTCTGATTTCTCAGTAAGAGAAGGCAGACTGTGTGACCGAAACTCCGATCTGCATCAAAACTGTTCTCTTGGCACACGGACAAAAATCCAATTAGTTTCCAGAGGACAAACTGTCTTTGGGGACTCGATCTAAAATTCATGACCAATCTGGAGGAAAATAGTTCTCTAGGAATTTTCTTTTTTTTAATCATAGATGATATACATCCTTGGCTGTGTGAAAGTAATGCTCATTCAAATTAATCAGGTTTACTTTCCTAGGTTTGTTTGGAGAAGTCCACGTCCTTACTTGGACATTCCAGGCATTTCTAAGAGAAAACCACAAGGCAATCTTTGGGTGTGGCTATTAAGGTTGATTGGAGCTGTGGTGACTAACAATCATGTCTGCTTAATTTCTCTGATTGTTACAGGAGTTTGCCAACTTGTCAATAAGATGGAGGAGAATACTGGCAAGATTAAACCTTTCAACCAAAATGATGAACAGTTCCTGGAAGCTTTTGTTATCTTCTGTGGCTTGGGGATCCAGAACACACAGATGTATGAAGCGGTGGAGAGAGCCATGGCCAAGCAAATGGTGACTTTAGAGGTAGGATGAAGCTGACAGGATTTGGTCTCCTCAGTCACATGCTTTCCCTCCCGACAGGCACTGTGTATATGGTGTGCTCTGGCTTTGTATCTACACAGAAAACATGGGATTCTCACAATGATATCCGTACACATATTTAGAAGCTAAAGAAAGGAGATTCCTAATATTTGGTTTCTTGCCAAGGCTCAGATGACCAAACCAAGACTCTGGTCTGTCCCCGGCTCTTCCTGTATAAAGTAGTGTTTGCTTTCTGTACGCCATTCCCACAGATACCCACTGTCCCCGAGAGGTCCCTTCCCTGTTTATCCCATTCCTCATTCCTCCCCCTCCCCCTGTGTCTTTCCATAAGGACACCGGTAAAGAAAGCTTTTTTTTTTTTTTTTTTTTTTTAAAGAATCTCATCAGTCTTAAGAATTGAAAGTAAGGAAGGAAACCAGTAAAAGGCAGAAGCCATGTCCCCCGCTGTCCATTGACTTTGATTCTGAAGCTCTGGATCCATTTGGTTTCCTGGGGTGGCTGTAATTGTGCAACTTTTAAAGTATAAAATAAACCACTCAGTACAGCCACATTTTTTGTTTGTTTGTTTAAAAGGACTATCTAAAATAGCTCCTCATTACTTGGAAGTTATGAATTCTGAAAATGAGAATTGCAATTCTAAGCTTAAGTTAGAGGATTTAAAGTAAGTCTGACCTTAAGGCAACACTGACTCCTGGATCCATTGTGAGCTTAATAGCCCAGTGCCCTCAGCTGCTATGACAGCGGAGTCTACTCTGCCAGTGACTTGTAGACTCTGAGAACATCTTTACATCTGCATGACCATACGTTCCAGCATGCAGTTTTCTGGATGAATTCGACAGTTATTACAGGCCTCACCTGAGAACCGTACGTGGTGTGTGTGTGTGTGTGTGTGTGTGTGTGTGTGTGTGTGTGTACACATATATACATACATATGTATATGTTACAAATAGCAACTTAAATATGTCAATTCAGGCAAGAGTTTTTCCCCCTGTTCTGTATACAAGTACATTTCTGAAAGAGAAACAACAACAACAACAGTTCAAAATAAACACTTGCTGCTATGGCTGAGCCAGTGATTATTTCTAGAGTGGTTTATAGATAATGCGTTTGTTATGATCACAGCATCAGAGTGACAGTTTCAGGATTTTCTCTAAAATTAAGGAGCATAAATTCAGGCTGTTTTACTGTGCTGATGAAAGCCATTAGTAGGAGTTGGCAGCCAGAAAGCCTAGTTGCCTCTCCAGGAAGTCGGGGCAACATTTCAAGCTGATGTTCCGTGTGCATTAGTTAACCTGGACTCCTGTCTTATCCACAGGTCCTGTCTTACCACGCGTCGGCAGCAGAGGAGGAAACAAGAGAGCTCCAGGCTTTAGCGGTAACCATTTCTGTTGAAAACTCACTCACTTCAGCCATCCAATTAATATACAAGTGCTTTCACTAGTGCTCAATATTTAGATGGATGCGGAAGTTATGTGTGTTGATTAACTGTGCTTTCTAGCTAGAGTACAAAGTCATCCATAGTACAAAACGCCAGGGACTGATGTTGACTTTGTAATACTATTCTGTTATCCTGATTTTTTTTTTTAATCCCCAGTGGTTGTTAAAAAGTTCCCCTCTTTCTTTCACTGAAATTAATTTAGTTCTCATTTACTGGGGAGACTGAGATGGGTGACTACAGATGGTTGGTTCTCACCAGTAACTAGCTCTGCACTGTCGGTAACTGAGAGCGATCCGATTTCTGACCATATGGTTTATGGCAGGCTGTTTGAAATCAGGATCAGATAAGGTTAGTTCCTGGAGTCATGTCATTATTCAGTATTCAGTGAGATGAAGGCAGGGGAACCTGAGTACACATGCCAGATGCTCTGGGTCTTGGTTGGGAATGCTTTGGTAGCAGTCCATGTAAGTTTGAAGAAGTTACCCTGAGCTGTACACGTAATATACTAGCAATGCTTGCATTTTAAATCTGTTGCCGTGACACAGCTAGGTCTATCTGAGAGAAAGAATTGTGCATGTAAGGAATGGAAAGTTTGAACGGATCATAGAAATTCTCTCTCATTGTTATCGACACCATAGCTTGCCAGAAGATAACTTTTTTATGCTTTATCAGCATGTTCTCATGGAAACTACAGCTGTGTTGTGAAGACCACACTGGGGCCTAGAAAGGCCAAAGAACTTCAAGTTCACACGGCCACGCAGGACAGGGAGTGAGACAGAAGTCCATACTCAGTGCAGAGCCCTGAACCATATTCAGATAGAAGCAGGGCAGAGCACTGAGTTAAAAGGCCAGGAGATTGAGAGAGACCTTGGAGACATTCTAAGTTAAATTGTGTGTAGGAACATGACTCATCTAGCAAGGACAGCAAAAGAATCATTAGGTAATTGTATCTGAAAGGTCACACAGAGTTTAAAGAGGTATTGGGTTTAAAAGTATCATTTGCCTTGGGCTTAATTGACACTTTTTTTTTTTTTTTTTTTTGAGACAGGAGACAGGCTCTCACACAGTAGCCCAGCCTGGCCTGGGACTCACTTGAACTCCTGACATTGCTGATATGGGCTCCCCTGACCTAGGAGTATAGGTGTGAGGTGCCCCACGCAAGTTAACTGACACATTTATTTGCCTAGTTCACCAACGAGGTCTAGCTCCACTTGCATGTACACTGTGAGTAGGAAATGCTTTTGTGTTTTCAAGCCCCACAAGTCATTAGTCAGTGGCAAAGTAAAGGGAAAAGGCACACCTTGCCATGTGTCATATGGAAATCCAAAGAGCAAACACAGCACCTTCTCAAGACAACGCTAAAACCACCACTGGAGTGTGAAAACCGGTTTTTACACTCCAGAAAGAGCGGAGTCTTTCACAAAAGTCTCAACTTGGCTCTCTCAAGTATACTTATAATTTTAGCAAGAGAAAAACACTCTAGAATAGCTGAAAATTGCTGCAAGCATATTGTTCTGAACCATCTGTTGTTCCATTCGGAAAATAGATGTCTGGCAGCTGCATTGAGAAATGTAGGGTTACATCTTTTGTAGGTCAAGTAATTTATTTAAATTGGTTGAGATTCAGCAACTCATTTCGAGCCTAGCTTTATGTCAACCAACTAAAACTTCTTCTGCAGCCCCAGCTACCCAGGTGTCTGCAAAACGCGGCATTTCCTCAAATCACTATCTTTGCCATGCGTTTGCTTGTTTGTGCCAACTCCAACTGTAAAAGAATTTCAAAAGCTGTCAAATGTTTTCTTAACTTTTATTGTGAAATTTTACTCTCGAGATTGAAGAATATATGTACCAAATATGTATGGCTTCATCCAGAATAAAATTCTGTAGTCATAACAAAAAGAATTGATAGGCAATTCAAATACCTTACCCCCTCCCCCAGCTTAACTGAACATTTTTTAATCTCATTTTTAGTTTGACCTTTTCTTGGGTTAAGCATAAGAGGAATGGGGCCTTTCAACTGAGCGTGTTGCCATGATTTTGAGACTCCTTAGTGACAGGTTGCTGAAAAAGCAACAAAAGATCCCCTGTCACCTGCTCGTGTTTCTTAAAAGTTAACTAAATACGAGAATGTAGGGCTGGAGGATGATTTGGCAGTTGAGAACATTAGCTACTCTAGCAAAGGATCTGGGTTTGGCTCTCAGCACCCATACTGTACCTTCCAACCATCTGTAACATCAGTGACAGGGATCCAGTGCCCTTGTCTGGCCTGTTCGGGTGCCAAACACACAAATGATACACGTATATAGACACAGGCAAATACTTATACACATAAAATAAAAATAAATAGCAGGGTGGTGGTGGTGCATGCCTGCAGTAGAATATTATTTTAAGATGTGTTGCATCTTTTATGCTGTGGAACATTTGTTTAACCATGCATTCTTTTATGTTGCATCTGATTAACTCCATGAAGCTGTGTTACTTTGCCTGTCTGAAACACCTGATGGATGTAATAAAGGGCTGAATGGCTGGTAGTTGGGCACAGAAAGGATAGGTGGGGCTGGCAGGCAGAGAGAATAAAGAAAAGGAGAAAAAGAGAGAAGGAAGATAGAGGAGAAAGAGGGGGAGGAGGACAGCAGGGTTCGGCCACCCAGCCACACAGCAAGCCACTGAGTAAGAAGTAAAGAAAGGCATACAGAAATAGAGAAAGATAAAACCCAGAGGCAAAGGGTAGATGAGATAATTTAAGAAAAGCTGGTTAGAAACAAGCTAAGCTAAGCCTGAGCATTCATAGATAACAATAAGTCTCCATGTGTATTTATTGGGAGCTGGGTGTCCGATCCTCCAAAGAGTAAAGAGCAAAGATCCAAAAGAATAAAGAGTAAACAAAAAACACAAAACAAAAACAACCAAAAAACACATGCCTTTAATCCCAGCACTTGGGAAGCAGGGGCAGGTGCATCTCTGTGAATTCAAGGCCAGCATGGTCTACAAAACTAGTTCCAAGATAGCTAGGCCTGTTATACAAAGAAATATTGTCTTAAAAAAACAAAAATAAATAAGAAAATAAATAAATCTATTAAAGGAAGATCCAGAATGTAAGTTTGATTAAACAGACAATTAGAAAATGAATGTGTACTAGATTGACTGGGTGACTGATTGCTTTTTCTGTCTTCTGGTCCTGTATAAAAAGCAATAGAGTGATGTAAATAAACTACTTAGTTTGTCACCGAGTCAGTTCTGGTCCATGTAGTCACAGCCTTGCTGCATTTTATAGAATCATGGACAGCATAACTAGATGCTAACTGAATTGTTTGACATCTTAAAGGGCTCTGAGACTTCATTTGAGAACAAAATAGAAAGGGCTGTGGTAGCCACTGAGGTGGGATTTCCTAGGACTTAAACTCTCAAAGAAAGAAATATCACGTGGACCCAGCCTTGGTCAGGCATCTTGGACTACTGCAGATGGCTGTGGTAAAGGACAGAGCCAAGACCTGACCCAAATCTGATGCCTAAGTTGGTGTGTAGATCAGCTATCTTACAGCAAGATACTCACTAGCCCCTGCTGTGGGGAAATCCTTTACAGACTGACAAAGTGTGACTTGAAGCTTCTATCAGACAGTTTGAGCAAGAGTTGGCCCTGTGACCTATGGTGTCCAATGCTGCTGAACTGTAGTGACTTGTGGCCTTGGTAATGAACTGCCTTCCTTAAATTGTGTCAGAGTCTAGAGCAATCTCTGGCCTGTCCATGGAGGCATCCTCTTTTAGAGAAGTCTAAAACATTAAAAAAGCTTCATCTTTTCTTCACATGGGCAAGATGTCAGTAGGTTATCTGTTTGATTCTTCCTATTTCACTTTGATTTTTCTAGTGGCCAATGTCCAGCCACAATCTTATCTCCAACATGGAGACACTGTTACTGAACTTCTCATACACAATGATTGTATATAGTTTGGAAACACCACAGTTTTAAAAAGACGTTTCATATGTGGAACTAAGAAAGCAACATAATAGCAGATCTGTGTATAATAAAGTATGCACGTAAGTTCCACTAAGTTTATACTTAGAAGTATTTATATCTTCTCAAAATTTTATCATTATGCCTTTGTTGTATGATTTTCAAAATCTGTAAGCTCATTATCCAAGTTTCTAATATTCATCTTCCCTGCTAAAGTTTAAAGGAACCACTTATTTAATGTGAGGAAGAAGGAAACATTATACTGATACAGGTTCCAAACTGTGCCTCATGTACCTCTCCCTGTAGATTTCTTCTCATCTGTATTTGAATGTTCCTCTGTCTTGGAAAAAGATACATTCTAACAGCACTAAAAGATGTGTGAGTTCCCCTATTAAAGATACATTTTATGAGAGTTTAGAAGTGTGGGGCACCAGCTTTCCTCAGAGTGTAAGATACTGATTGTCACAGTGGCTTTCTTCCAGGGCTGAAATGGCATTGTCCTCCTTTGCATCTGGGCCCTGAGAGGGGAGTATTGGTCAGTACCTACAGGAGATTTTCCAGCACTTGACAGACGACCTTTCTGTGAAACTAGTGGTACCACCTAGCAAATATACTTATTTGATCCCTGAAAATAATTTCCTTAAAAGGAGAACTAATTGAAATTCTTCATTTTTATTGACTAAATATCAAAGATAAAACAAAACGAGTTTATAAAACATTGATGCTAATTGGAAAAATTTGACATTTTATGGAAGATCAAGTTCAACAGCTATCCCTTTCAGACTTGAATATTTCCTGTGCAAAAGGAGCCTTGTATTAATAGCTGGCTGTAAAGAGATATTTCAGTTCCCATGATTTTTATTTGGGGCTTGAGAGCTGATACTTAAGATCTAAGGCAGACTGAATGTCTGGTTAACAATGTGGCTTTTTTTTTTTTTTTTTTTTTTTTTTTTTTTGTATAAAGAATACACAATCAGATTGTGTA